AAATCCAGAAAGTAATTTCTCGAGATAGCTATTTAAGTCATTATTTCAGTTTTAAGCTTAGGGTTTTTAAAATGACGTTAAAACATTCCTTTAAGACTTTTGTTTTTAGCTTTTGCCTTTGCAAACAGAATGAACGCTGCTGGCTGCCAACTGTTTGAGGAGCTCAAGTGGAGGGTCATTTGTGGGCTGGGCTGAGCTGGGCCTTGGGGGGGGTTGGAGGGGGCCCCAGGCCTCTGTCTCCAGGCCCCTCCCCCGGGGATGGTGCCTCCCCCAGAAGGCGGTTTGCAGAGTCGGGTCTGACTTTCCCATGTTTTGCTGCCTTGGTAACAAGTCTCTAAACTGGTGCCGCTTCCCTCCTGTTTCCGTGGCCTGTGGGGCTCCTGGTGGAAAGGGGAGCGCAGTCGCCACTGGTTTCCGCACTCATCTCCCTTCCACCCGCAGCCTTGAAACCTGCACAGTGCGGCCGCCTCTTTTCTGAGAATCGGCAGAGCATCGCCACAATCTCTCCTCTGACCCTCCCAGTCTAGTCCTAAGACTAGGAAACACGGAGTAACCATTGGGCCTGAAATAGTGATTTCATTCACTCAGCTTTTTGGACACGTGTCCTCTGCTACAACCCGTGTGCGTGCAGACACACAGTGACCTCTCTTGGTGGCGACTGCATGGAAATGCTGTACATATGTAGCTGTTTCCCTCTGCATGTAGTGCAGACACACAGTGACCTCTCTTGGTGGCGACTGCATGGACATACACACGTGGCTCTGTCTCCCTCTGCACGCAGTGGCGGCGATGTTCCTGGGGATGGATTTGCCGGGCCTGGCCCTTCCCGGCCCGTGGAAGACCTACACGATGCTGGGGTTTGTCGCCTGGCACGTGGGGGCGGAGATCGTGCTGGAGGTCCACTCGTACCGCCTCTCGCGCAAAGGTACTGCCCGGAACCGCTGTCCCGTGAGCCGGTGGAGAGCAGTCGGGTTCCCGATACTAAGGGGGGGCTGCTCCCGGGAGCTCCTTAAACACTCCTGCCCGATCACTCAGGGGTGGGAACTGGGGACATTTCCTGCCTTTCTCTTTCGTGTTCGTCAGGATGATAAATTGTGGGTAAAACAGAAGGGGCCGACTGCAGGCTTCAGGGAGGACGTCTTCGTAAGGACGTGTGCTGCGCAGGTCTGGCTGGGGGGCAGTGGACACAGGGAGCCCCGCATGCCTGGGGGAGACCCTGAGCCGGAGGAAGCAGAGATGCCCGGAGTCAGCCCCGGGCAGGGCTGCAGACAGCTGTTCCCTTCTGATAGTTTACAGGGCGCTACCTCCGCTGGCCTTGCACGTCGGACACAGCCGGCTCATGAGTGAGCCACGAGGGAAGGGCTGACTCTGCCCAGCTGTCTGTCCCAGGCAGGGCGCTGGCCTGGAGCCCGAGGGTGGAGAGATGTCCAACGAGCGTGGGTCTGGGCTGTGTCCTTGGTGTCCTATCTAGTATTCAGCCTCCCCCCGCCGCCCCCAGTGATAAATCAAGGTGGCCTTCTCCAAGCACAACCTCTTTGTTGTCTAATGTAATATGTTGTGACGTTAGGAGTCGGTGGCTTTTGGGAGCTGAATACTCCTGCGTTTTTGGTTTCTGATAGGAATACATATATAGTCGGGCTTCTGCTGACCACGGAGCTGGGGCTTGTTGTTTAAAAGACACATGTACTGCCCAGCTGGCAAGGCTCAGTGGTTGAGCATTGACCTATGAACCAGGAGGTCATGGTTCGGTTCCCAGGCAGGGCACATGCCCGGGTTGTGGGCTCGATCCCCAGTGTGGGGCGTGCAGGAGGCAGCCGATCAATGATTGTCTCTCATCATTGATGTTTCTCTCTCTCTCTCCCTCTCCCTTCCCCTCTGAAATCAATAAAAAATATAAAAAAGAAAAGAAAAAAAATGTACCTCACACTTGTATTGTTAGGGGTTTGATCTGGTTGGAATTGCCTAGAAAAGAGCATGTTTAAGTGCCCGTCCCCGAGTGTGAGAGCCTTACTATTGGGGACGTTTGGAATGTCCCGGGAGCTGGAAATGGGAGAACAGACTCAGCAAACCCTACCCATGAGCTTCGCTGCGCAAGTGTTCGCCTGCACACCCACGGGCCTTACCAACGCATGTTTTTGCTCTTGGCAGTTGAAATACTGGATGACACTAGAATTCAGATTATGCAGACCTTTACCATGGCTGAGGCAGAAGTAAGTCCTTCTTGTTTATAGTTTTACTAGAGGCTTGGTACATGACATTTGTGCACTGTGGGGGGCGGGGGGGACCCTCAGCCCAAATTGTGAGAGGGTGCAGGCTGGGCCGAGGGACCCCAGCCGTGCACAATCGGGGCCAGGGAGGGACATGGGAGGTTGGCTAGCCAGGGAAGGCCCGCGGGAGGGCTCCAGGGCATGTCCAGCCCATCTTGCTCAGTCCCGATCGGCCGGACCCCAGCAGCAAGCTAACCTACCGGTCGGAGCGTCTGCACCCTGGTCATCAGTGCACATCATAGCGACTGGTCGGTCAGTCGACTTTCTGCCCTCTGGTGGTCAGTGCACATCATAGTGAGTGGTTGAGCGGCCTTAGCATATCATTAGCATATTACACTTTGATTGGTTGAATGGCCAACCGGATGACCGGACGCTTAGCATATTAGGCTTTTATGATATAGGATTGACAAAAGCCTTCAGGATCGGAGGTCCATCCTCTCACCTGTGTGTTTTCCTTTCAGGGCCACGGCTTTAAGAAGGCGGTGCTAGCCGTGTATGTCTGTGGGAACCTGACTTTCCTCGTCATATTCCTGTCTGCCGTCAGCCGTCTCTGAGCCCGCCGCGGCCTTGCGGTGCCGGCCAGGTGACGGTCTCATCGAGCCGAGGAACGCGAGGCCCGCGCCGCCTGCCGGGTGTGGGCAGGAAATCCGAGTTGGAGACCAGGCCATGCCCACGCGGGGTTCTGGCGGCTGGCCCTTAGGGTCCTGTGGACTGTGACGCGCCGTCCAGCCTTAGGTGCAGGTCCGAGTCTTAAAGGGAAGGTCGAGGAGAAGTGACCCTCGAATAGTTCTCTTTTCTGCACCTTTTTATTGAATGTATTGGGGTGACGCTGGTTCATGAAAGGATACAGGTTTCAGGTGAATAACTCCACGCACATCATCTGTACGCTGTCCGGTGCGTTCACCACCCCAAGTCAGGTCTCCTTCCATCACCATTGATCCCCCGTCTCCCCTCCCCCCCTCCCCCCAACCCCCTCCCAGTATTTTTATGCTGAGATTTTAAGAATGTTAGCATTTAGGAATGTAAACAAGAACTATTTGGAAAATAAAGGATGACGTTAGGATGGAAAGGGGAGAGAGGAACTATATTGGGGCTCCGGAAGTTCTGCGGGTCTTTTAAGACAACATCTACAGGGTGTCCCCCAAAATGAGTACACACTTTAACAGCTGATAGCTCAATTTTAAAAATAGGATGTATTTTACTAAACACTGCCTTTATAATTATTCAAAGTGTGTATACATTTTTGGGGGGACACCCTGTATTTTTACTAGTTTATCTCAATGGTCTTTTTTCCTAGGGCTTTTTGGGAAACTGTATTTTTCAGTCCTGTTTTGGGGACTCATTCCTTGCTCTGTGTATCTTGTTTCTTTGGTAAAGGTGGACATGGGGCTGACCCCATGGTAGGTTTTGTTGACATTGAAACATATTACGGATATTATAATATCTTCCCTAGCTGTGAAATGTGAGTGTGCATCTTCTGCTTAAAAACTGCCTTTATATATTCAGCAACAGAGCTGATGGCCTTTTATATGCTCCGTGTTTTGACAATAAGATTTGAATCCGACAGCCTTTGGAGATTGTAGACTCGAATTTCAAAACGAATAAAGCTCACCCATGTGAACACATCTAAGTTCCTCTCTTGCCGTGTGAGGGTTCTGCTCTGCTGGGAGCTCCTGGTGCTCTAATGAGCTGGAATCATCCGTTATCTTCCTTCCTGCTGCAATCGTTTTCCTATTTTGGGGCTGGGTTTTATACCTGCCATGAGGACTCCTAGCCAGTGGGGGGCGCCATATACCAGCTGTACCAAAGTACAGCTTGGTTCCTGCCTCCTTGGGCCAAGATTCCTTTTCAGAACTTAGATAACATCATGGATGTATTTTCCTTAAAATCCACTGACTCGATCTTCATTTGAAAAAAAATCCTGTCTTTTTTTTTGGGGGGAGGGTCGGTATTTTGTGTCAGAAACTGAAATTAAGTCCATTGTTTCATTTGATTTTTTTTCTTCCCTGTGATTATTTGTAACAACAGTTTGATATTTCCCTTTACAGTCCTCTGACCCTGTGGCCGATGAACACAGCGATCTTGGGCACAGGACACAAGCACAGTGGACACTCTTAAAATAATAAGAGCGCAGGGCGCACAGTTCACTTCTGTAGCTGTTCTGATTACGTTACCGGTTCTGGTTGGCCCGAGGCCCTGACTTCTATCGGGTGTAAGGCAGCCCCAGCCATGTATCCGGTGCCTCTGACGGGTGAAGGGATGGGGAGGTTTGCTTTTCTTCCTTTTAGTGGAGTTTATCACAAGCAGCGTAGGGGTGAGATGTGACTTTTCCCTAAGTGCCAGGCTACTTACAGCCTAACCCTTCCTTTTGCATGTAAGTTTAAAAATAAATTTTTTAAGCCTAGAAAATGAAATGTACGCTAAACTGGTTCACCAGTTTTCACCTCTAAGGGGCTTAAAGCCTAGTGAATTTCTCTCGGTCAGTTCTGTTCTGCATGTGACAAGGAAGGATTCGCTGAAGGGGAAGGGGGACCTCGTTGTGTTTGGTTTTCAGTCCGTGAACTTGCTGATGTGCATGTTCAGTTTTTCTTCTTCACGGATTCATCTGTGGGCGCTCTTTGGATATAGCATTGATCGATTGAGAGTTGCCCAACGAAGTCTTTGTCATTTAATCTTAATCGATGAAACTTTTTCAGTAATACCAAGTCAGGATTCTTCTGCTATGAATGGTCAGAAGGAACTCTTACAACAGCAACAGCATGGAGGGACCTGGAGGGTGTGATGCTGAGCGAAATAAGCCAGTCGGAGAAAGACAAGTGTCACATGATCCCACCCACATGTGGAATCTAATGAACAAAATACACTGATGAACAAAATAGATCCAGAGACACAGAAGCATGAACAGACGGATGCATTTCAGAGGGAAGGCGGGGGTGGGGTAGTGGGGGGAGAGTTTAACCGTGGAACTTGTATGCGTAACAGCAAACAAAGTGGACATCTGTCATACTTCCAACAATAAAGATAAATTTAAAAAAAGAAAAGAAAATGCCTCCCTTCACTTTTCCCAATCTTTCCATTTTTATAATAAACAATCGGGGTGTCTTTTTTAAAACACACACACTTCTTTCGATAGCAGTGATTGCTAACCGACATGCCTTTCTGTCTTTAGCGATGTTGTTGGGGGTGTGAGCAGAATCACAGGTGCTTGTTTATCTTAAAGACGGGCTCCTCTATACAATACAAATAAGTATGTTTTTTTGGGGAAAAAATGAAACTAATTCTGGAGGACCGTGGCCGGGGAGCATTGATCATTGATCGCCAAGCCTGTTCTGCGTTTATGATTTTCTGGTCTGTGGTCATCGGTCTTAAGGGCGCAGGGAGCTTGCGGCAAAGCTTGTGAATAAATGCACGACTTCACTTCAGTGCCGGCTTGGTTTCCATCAGGGTTTGGGCTCTAACGCGTTCGTCCTTCCACGTCCCGCCCAGGGCGCAGTGCGGCACCTGCCACCGGCAAGTTCTGGGGCACGTGCAGCTCTTGGCTGGAATTCTGTGGATCTGTTACTCTGGTGGAGCAGGAAGGCAGGACCAGGTCCCCGTGTGCGATAAGCCAGGGGAGAGGGAAAGGAAGGACGCTTCCTCTCAGCTCTTGTCACAGCTGATGAGGGCCCACGCCGTCCCTGTCCGCGTCTGCTTCTTTCCTCCTGGCCCAGCCCCCACGGCTCACCCCGGGGCCCAGGTCACCGCTGGCTACCTGCCTGGGATGCCCTTTCGGTTCCTCTCGCTCTGGCAAAAGCCAGCTTGTCAGGTTCTGGCTCAGGACTACCCCCTCTTGGAGCCCTTCCAAGCTCATGAGTTTGCTCACCGCTCGGGCAGGGCTGGCTCCCTCCCGGTTCCCACCATCTGCAGGTTTAGAAGCTGCAGGTCTGTGGGCAGGTCACTGACCTTCCCTGGGTCCCATTCCTTTTTTTTTTCTTCATAAATATATGTTTTTACTGATTTCAGAGAGGAAGGGAGTGGGGGAGAGGGTTAGAAACATCAGTGATGAGAGAGCATTATTGATCGGCTGCCTCCCTGTGGGGAGGAGGAATGGGAGTCATTGCATGATGCACCGACCATTTTCAGTTTGGGGTGATGAACGTATTCTGGAGATTGAGATGGCAGTTGCACAACATCGTGAATGTAAGAAAAGCTACTGAATAGTTCACTCTAAATTGTTATTTTTTGACCCGGTCGGCATGGCTCAGTGGTTGAGCGTTGACCTATGAACCAGGACGTCACGGTTCGATTCCAGGTCAGGGCACATGGCCGGGTTGTGGGCTCAATCCCCAGTCTCTCCCTCTCCCTTCCTCTCTGAAATCAATAAAAGTATATTTTAAAAATTATTTTTATGTGAATTTCACTTCAATAAAACAAATACTGTCTCATGATTGCTTTTGGATTACACCTTTGGGTGGAAAAATTCAGGGGTTTTGCTGGCCCTAAACTTTTTATCAGTTTAGTTTCTTATTTTGTTATCAAAGAAGTTCATGTAATTTCATGTCATGCCTGGTCCCACACCTCCGGTTCGGGAGGAGACTTTCTCCAGGTGTGCAGAGCACATCTGTAGAGTGTGATGCCTTATTCAACGTGGAGGAAATCGCCTCGTACTCTGTATTTCCCCATGAGGATCTAAACAAATGTTTTGATTCCTATTCAGACACCCATACTCTTAGGATAAGCATTTCCCAAATCGAGCCATGGCTAAGGTCTTGTCAAACAGATTCTCCTCCAGAAACGAATGTAAGCTTTAAAAAAGCAGCTGCCCTGCCCTAACTGGTTTGGCTCAGTGGATAGAGCCTTGGCCTGTGGACTGAAGGGCCCTGGGTTCGATTCCGGTCAAGGGCATGTGCCTTGGTTGCGGGTTCATCCCCAGTAGGGGGTGTGCAGGAGGCAGCTGATGGATGTTTCTCTCTCATCGGTCTTTCTAACTCTCTATCCCTCTCCCTTCCCCTCTGTCAAAAATCAATAATATATATATATATTTTAAAGGGGGTTTGAGTTCCCTGTTCTCAGAGCAGCTGCAGTGAGCCCCGTGGTGCTGGGTGGCAGGGCACTGCGGTCTCAGCACAGACTGGACAGGCTGCCTACCGCTATCAGGACAGGGAGGGGGAGTCCTGGGAAGGAAGACATCAGAGAGGGGAGCCCAGCGCCTGTTTGCCCGCCACCCTGGCAGTCTGGGCTACGTGCCTGCTGCAAACCAAAAGATGCACAGAGCCCGGCCAGTGTGGCTCAGCGGTTGAGCATCGACCTGTGAACTAGGAGGTCACGGTCCGATTCCTGGTCAGGGCACATGCCCGGTTGCAGGCTTAGATCCCCAGTAGGGGTCATGTCTAGAACATTCCAGACAGCAGAGGATCTCTTTCCTCCTAGAGACCAGCTGGCTTTTACAAAGAACTGGTCCGAGGCTGATGCCTCTCAGGGTGATGCTGGTCCGTCGGGTCTGCTGCTGCTACCTCCCGGCGCCCCACACCAGCGACTGAGGTTGGGTCTCATCATCTCAGCAGGGAAACTCACCGGAAGACCCGCAGGACCTGGGTGCCAGGCACGGGCGTGATCCGGGGAGGACGCGTGTGCATGGATGTGAGGGTGTTGGGTGGAGTAGGAGAGAACTGGCATCAGACTATTCTTCAAATTAGGAGTTCACGTCCCGGCAAGAATCCTTAGGAATGCATGCTGCACACATAACAGGATTCTGTCTTGTTCACCACCATCGGTCAAGCCTGAGACCAGATTTGTATCCTCTGAGAATAGGGGAAGTCCTCCATCGACCAGCCTTGGGTTGTACCCAGTCATTGAACCAGGGGGCTCACATTGAACTGAATGACAGAAAGGGTGATGTTTCAAGAAGAATAAACATGCCGGTTATCGTCTGTAAAGTCATGTACACGAGCAAGATAATCCCAATCCCGTCCCCAAATGTGAGGATAACCATCGCACACACCTGTTGGACGTGTGCCAAGGGCTGAAGTCTCCCCAGCCAGCCGACTCGGTCCTCAGTGGGAGGATGTGGTTGTCTTACAGCCTTGGTGGGTTGGGAAGGCCCCTTCATGTGTCAGAGTTAAAGATGAATGTTTCTGTGACAAGGGATAGTGGCTCCCGATGATCTTTCATTTGTATTCGCAAAATTACAACATCAGTTAATAGAATAGAGTCAGGCTATTTTAAATAACTTTATTCTTAAATTTAACAAGCTCTTTTTAGAAATGCTTTGGTATCAAGACAATAAAAATATTCTGGTTTTCACCCCCACTGAATCATGTCAAGTAACTGGAAAAGCTGAGTGTTTGTTCTCCCAGCTTTTTTGCAATATATATATATATATTTTTTTACAAATAATGGCTACTGCTTACTCACATGGCTTAATATGGATATAATCATAATTTTTTTTTGGATCGAAAAGAAAAAGAAAGAAACACAGTATCCAGGAGAGAAAATGGCAAACATTTCGTAGTTTCTTCTCCAAAGTATGTTTATGTAGATGGTAGACCTCTCAGATAACTTTTTTCCCCAGCTTTGCCATTCTTATCCTTAAAGCTGCAAATTAAAGAAAAAAATAGTTATAAACAGAAATCTTAATTTCTACTCTAAATGACCATTTCATAGAATGCAGGAAAGTTTGAAACATACCTCAGATGATTTTGTCCAACAATGTGAGCATTGTTTTAGTAGCACAAAAAGATAGTAGAAATAATAAGCTATGATTAACTCAGGGTAGTAGCAGGGTCAGAACTAGAAGGAGCCTGTTACTATAAAGATTAGGAAAATCAGTAGAGCAAGCAAGGCAAAAGTGGAGTCAATATAGGGTTAGTGCACAGCCTCACTGTTGGCTATCGATAAATTCCATCTAGGTCAACGACTGTGTTTTGTGTATATTCCTGAGCTATGCACAACTAAAAAAAGGCATCGACTCAAACTCTATTTCATGGTTACATTATCTTTTAATTCATCAAACTTGACTCTACCAAGGGGCTCCATTCTTGGATAGAGAGTGACAAAAGCAAAATTTTTTATAATGAAGCCACGTGAACCAGTAATGAAAGTTGGAGTAATCATAAAACGTCTTTCAAATGCCAAATACACATTTCTGAGCATATTCCACCACTAATGATGTACTGGAGGAAGAGACCATTTTTAAAAACGTCGAGTTAGAATTCATACGACGCGTCTGATGTTCTGATATCATGCCCTCCAGAGTTAGGGCTCAGCGTACAGCTGCTCCACATCATTTTCTGAAGGTTGAGAAAGGCTGGCAAGGCACTGGTCATGACAGTCATGTGGGACAGAGCTAGTTAACTGATTGCAAAATGTTATTTAATGAAAAAAAAGAGCAAAGGGAAGACATGCTCTCTCGTTTCTCCGCCATCTATGATTAGTTGTCATTAACAAATGACATGAATGATGACACCTCCAAGAAGCTCTTGTTCACACATAGGATCCAATACTGTAACAAAACCGTGAGCGTTTTTATTGTCACTTCACTCATGAAATGGTCGCATCTAAATGAAACAAAAGAGTAGTATTTCCCCGGAAGCCTGAAGGGGAATGGCCATTTCTAGTGGGTGGGGTCAAGAACAGTCCCTTGAATTTGGGATCAGACCAAGAAGGCGGTCTCTATTGCTGGAGAAGTCGGGAGGTGCCACCTGAGAACGCGTCCTCCTGCAGCAGGAGGGAGCTGGAGGGGGGACAGGCTTTGTCGTTTCTCCTCGTGGCTCTTTGGCCCTCTCTCTTGCCCATCCCCAAAGGGGAGCCGGGCCAGGTCAACGGGGAGGGTTTTGTCCAACAATGTGAGCATCGTTTTAGTAGCACAAAAGGGTAGTAGGAATAACAAGCCACTGTTAACCCGGGGCAGAAGCAGACTCAGGACTAGAAGGAACTTTTTCTGTAAAGGTTGGAAAAATGAGTAGAGTGAACACAGCATACATGACATCCAGTGAAATTCTTAAAGGACATGTAGCTGTGTGAGGGCTCAGGAGTGGGGTGATTCAGTCCGGTTTCTC